AGGGCATGCAGTCAGTAGGCAGAGCAAGAGCTCCGTGGGCCCGTCCCACCCTTGGGGGGAGCTGTGGTCCTTCCTCCACGATGAAGGGGGAGCCTCCGAGCCTCCATTTCCTCAACTGTAAGATGGGATCACACAAGGCTGGTGTCCATGCTGTGCCCCCATCTGACGTGGAGCGAGGACTCGGAAGGCAGCTGCTGCTGTTAATGTCACCGCCATCCCCTCCCCCGGGGCTGGAGGCTGCATGCTGGGAAATCATCTGTCTGCGCTCTGCATCCTGGGAGCCTTCACTGACCCGTCCCTCATCTTATCCCCAGTCCTGGCCACCTGTGCCCCATGGCCACCTGTGCTCCTTGGCCACCTGTGCCCCGTGGCCACCTGTGCTCCGTGGCCACCTCCAATCTGGCCTCTGTTCCTCAGGCTCCTGCCCCTCCCACTGCTTCATGACAGGAGCTTTGTCCTAGCAGGTCACTCCCCTGCCCCAGAAACTGTGCCCGGATCCTTCTCTCCCGTGCCCTTTCTCCCGGACTCCAGCAATGAGCACCATCCTGCGTCACAGAGGGAGTTCCTGAGATGGGGACCTCAACTGAGGACCTCGGGATGAGTGGGTTCCATGACAAATGTCACGGAGACGAGTTTGAGGACGTGCCAGTCGGGAGCCAGAGGTTCACCCAGAGAAGCGGAGGTGCTGGATGAGAGCGCGGCCACCTGAGCAAAGCCCCCGACCCACCCCAGCTCTTCTGTGAAAGGAGACTCGGGGAGGGAGGGTCCCGGGAGGCACGAGGGGTCGGCGGTCACAAGATGGTTTATGGTGTCCTCGCAGTTCTCAGGATCCCTGATTGATGTCCCCCAGAAATTCGGGAGTGACGGGCTGGAGGAGAGATGTGTATGGGAAGAAAGGTGTCAGGACTGTCTCACGATGCTGCTAGGTTGACGTGAGAGTCCCTGAGAACGTCCTTCACGCTCCATCCGGCAAACTCCGCGCACCCTTCAATGGCCTGCCAGTGTCCCCCCTTCCGTCACACCTTCCCCAACCAACCCTGCCCAGGCAGCGGCTTCTCCTCTGACTGCACAACCTCCGGCGCCACGTGGCAGAGCCCCGTCTGCTGCGGAGGTCCTACGGCCTTGAGCGGCACGTGGGGTGGACCTTGGACACGTTGACATTACTCTTCAGGATCCGGAGGAAGTTCTCTGAGCCTGAGTGTGTGGACAGAACCCCGTTTTTAATAGGAAAGAGGGACAGCAGAGGTGGCAGGCCTGTTTGTTTGCATCAGCCGATGCATTCGCTGGGGTGAGGTGGGGCAGGGGAAGGGGAGGGTAGGGAGGAGGTGAGGAGGAGAGCATCCTGCCGTGGGTCCTTGGTGTTACAGATTTGAGCCCCTTAGGAGTATTTCCCACTTAAAAAGAGGGAGGGAGGGACGGCAGGCGAGGAGAGAGGACAGGGCAGCAGGCTCCACGGGGAGGAGTGGTGTCCTCCGCGGCTCTTTTCTTTTTGCTGCTGAGCAGACACTGAAGTCCGTGTGGGTTAAACGTGCCCATGATGCACCCTCACTATGCCATGCAGTGTTTCACATTTGGGTTTCCGAACTAGGTAGAAAAGGGATGCTTCCCACCAAGCTGTGTGGCTTCTGGCTAGTTGCTTAACTTCTCTGGGACTCAGTTGACTTATTTATAAAGAGAGGAGATGATACCTTCTCAGAGTGCACCATGCGGCTGTGCTATTGGTAGACAGATAGGCCACTATCTCCAAATAGATAGGCCGGGGCTCTGGCTGGGCCCCTCAGCATGGCTCTAATGCCACAGGGACAGGAACAAGTTTCCACCAGAAGAGGCAAAGTCAATGCTCAGCTTCTGAAGTTAGATGTCCTGTATTTAAATCCCAGTGGCCACTCTTGAGCTGTGTGACCTTGGGAGTTTCACTTACCCCCTCTGAGCCTTACTTCTATGGCTTTCAAAACAGGGTTGGTATAAGAATCGACTGTCCCCAGCCTCAGCTCTTGCTGTCTTGAGCTCATCACTCCCGCCGGCTTGGAACGCCTCCCTCTCAGCTTGGGTCACTACTGCCCGTCCGTTCGGCCTGCAGGACCAGCTCAGGCATCCCTCCCAGGGTGACCCTTTCAGGATGGCCTCCCCCAGCTCCAGCAGGACCAGTGCTTCCCCAGATCCTCCTTCTCTCCCTGGACCAGCAGGGCTGTGAGCTCACAGCTGG